AGATTTTTATAACAATTATTATTTAAATGTATCTGTGGCTGGTGTGGTTTGTGGCTCAGCTGCAGGGAAGGAGTGGAGCAGCGGGTTCAGAATGTGGTGTCAGGGAAGGTTGGTTTTCGCAGCCGGCAAGCATCATCTAATCATGCCTTCCCTATTTCAGTAGCGGCCAGGCCGCAGAGGAGGAGAGAGCTGCTGGAGCAAAGAGCCGGTGCAAAGTCGGAACAGTGAGCACTGCAAAGTGTTGAAGCGCACAGTGAAAAGTCACAGAAACACTGTGAATATAATAAAAAGCAAAACGTGACCTTCTGAGTCGCGTCGGGTCCTTTCGATTACAGTATTGTTACTTACATATTAAAATATCTGTATAACCCAATAAGAAAACAATATCTCCAAAAAGTCAAAGTGCCATGATGTCATTACTCCATTATGGTATTGGTGTGTGTGTCTATCGTTATCATTCAGTTTTAATAATGCATCGGATTAGTTTAGTGGCTCCGTTGTTAGCTTTCTCCTGCTGTTTGCCATTTACAACCTCTGAGTTTCATCTTCTTTACTGCAAGATGATAAATGCCACCACTATAAGTTATTAAATAGTGACTCTAGTGCAGGGGTGGGCAACTCCAGGCCTCGAGGGCCGGTGTCCCTGCAGGCTTTAGATGTGTCCTTGACCCAACACAGCTGATTTAAATGGCTAAATTAGGTCCTCAACATGTCCTGAAGTTCTCCAGAGGCCTGGTAACGAACTAATCATGTGATTCAGGTGTGTTGACCCAAGGTGAGATCTAAAACCTGCAGGACACCGGCCCTCGGGGCCTGGAATTGCCCACCCCTGCTCTAGTGGGTTAAATTGGTGGATGAACCTTTTAGAATAACAGCAATTTTTAATCTAACTTTTAATATCATAAAAGTATTGGAATAGTTTAGCAGTATGGCTAAGTATGACATTTTCTCCCACCTCTAAAACAATCTGTGGTATTAGCAGCAGGACTACCTCGTTAGACTACCTAATTACATTAAAAAAAAACTAAACACTAGAACTACCGACAATGGTGCATTTTAGCTGGATAAATGGCTTATAGCTAACCTCCATACTGTAAATTTGTTATGCGTAATCTGTAATAAATTAGTCATTAAAGTTGCTGTTGAGAATCAATCTAAAGTGTGTTTTTAGTGCTCAAGTAGAAAATCGCTATATAAAAACCAGTCCACTTATCATATATTGTAAACTAATCCCTCCAATCTTTTTGCCAACAAAATGTTCAAGTTTTGAGAATTATTACAGAATTTTGCTCAACACAACACATCAGCTTTTAATATCTTTGGTCTAAAGATCATCAGTGTTGCTTAAACTTCGATACACGCTAGTTCTTACTCAGTCTTGGCTTTTAATGAGAGGAACTGTTAGATAAGAGATGAAGATAAGCTGCTCAGCAATGTGGAGGCCACTGAAGATTAAACAGTTTTATAGGTAGAGCAGTCACCTGATTACTGATAACATTGGCATGCTTGGTTCTTGTAAAAGATAAAATTATGCTGACTGGAACTGTTTTCAGGAGGTTACTGATAAAGGACTGAGCAACGAACCACATCTGGCACTTCTGGGACTGCGAAATCACAACGGGTGGGAGGAGAGCATGGTGTGATGCCATCATCTGTCGGCCATCATCAATGTTAAAACAAAGTGACGTGAAGACTGATTCTCAAGAAAGACCAGGATGCAGTACAATCCTTCCACTCCTGCATCGTATAATGCTTACACAAGTACATTTGAAAAGCTTCGAAACTTTTATGTTTTTGTATTTTACCAACATCAGAGCTGGTATGATCACTATTTAAGAAAGATTTGTTTTAATGTAACAAAATGGTCAATTCATTTAAAGCTAAATGTAAGCCAACAACATACGTTAAAAGTGACACCTCTTATGTAAGCAGCTTTACAAAGCTTTTGAGCCTATTTTAGCTACTTGTTTTGGTTTCGCTGTTCATTTGTTTTGGTTTATTCGCACTGCTCTCATTGAGACTGTTTAGCAAAAAGTGGAGCCTGACTGATTTATTGGCAGTCCGATATTATTGGGTGATCTTAGCTATTTGGTGATCTATTGGCACCAGCATTCAACAAATTACCAGAGGGTATTCTGCAACTTCCTAGGTGGCAACACGTTTGGAATATCACAAGCACAATAACTATCTGCTCTGACCAGAGTTGGCAGAGCATGAACAAGAATAAAAGTTTCTTGTTTAGGCCAAGTTACTAGTAGCTCATAACCTAAGATAGATGCTGTTCATTACCCAGGCTTCTGTCATAAAATGGAACTCATTTGCCATTTTGGTTAAAGCCCAATGTATATAAGATTATATGTATATAGGTCCTATATACATATAATCCTATATTATAGGATTATATGTATATAGGATTATATGTATATAGGATTTTTAAGATCAATGTCAGTAACAATATTTGGTGATTTTAAAAATCCAAAATATTCTAATATATCAGCCAGGTTTTGTTTTTTTTGCTCTTTTAGACACACGAAACATAAACAGATTTCCCTAACTTTTGTTATGTGTACTATACTCTTTGACGCTCTCCATTTAGCTGGTTGTTGCGTTTATGTATGGGGTTGCAAACGTATGTTTTCCTAATACTGCTGAGTGCCCTCTGGTGGAAAACTGTACAACGTAAAATAATGTACAATGTTAAATTTTCCCTTATTAGCAAATAGATCAGCAAATAGTTAACATCGGTCAATAATACTGGCCTACCAATAAAAATCAGATCGGCTCTATTTTTTGTTTTAAACCGAGAATTACGCAACTGTTACCCACTTCCAAATTCCTGGTATCATACTGGGAGTTGAATGAAACCTAAACAGCCCCACTAAGTAATGACAATATTCTTCAAATAGCTAGAAACACAACTTTAGATAAATGCTAATCTTGCTGAGGCAGTTGTTTGCCAACACTGCTGTGACTATACAGTATAAAAGGTTACAATAGGTCTTTTTTTTTAACATCAAAAGGATTCCTTTTGTAGAAGAACGAATAAGTTACAATAAACACGACCAAAACTCAAAAATAAATGAATAAAAATTAATAACAACACGGGCAGGGTTTGGTAATCTTTACAAAAGCGCTATTTTACAACAATTTCCTACATAAAAAACAAAAAGGTACGGAGCCTTGAGACATAATGGAGCGTTATAATACCTGCTTATTAAGCCATGTCTATTGTCTCAAAAACATTTTTAACTGTTGTCACAAATTTTCCGATGTTTGAATAAATAAAGTACATGCTGTCTAATTCAATTCAGTTTTATTTATACAGTGTCAAAATGACAACAACAGTTGCCTCAAGGAGCTTTATACTCTAAGGTCTAATCTTATCTTAATGAAGTCGCCACCGCCTATTAAGTATAAATTAACCTATCGATATATATTAATATTCTACCACATGTGACTATTCTGCAGTTGGCTGGTTAGGAGGATTATTTAACTATAATCACTGCAATATTTGATTATTTTAAATACTAGAAAAACAGAACAACAGTGAAAAAGAAAAAATGTGTAGGCCCACATTGAAATAGAGTAACTAGAAAGCTCTGCGGGCCACTTTGAGCCTTACCTATCCAAGAACAAATAAAATTAAAAGTATTCCATTTCATAACAAATAGCAGCCCAACAGCTTTGAATATAGTCAATTTTAATTTAATGAAGACAAACTATATATGTGTCTACATCCACTGCTATTGAGGTTCAGCAAAATCAAGAGTTTAATTTTCACATTCCTTTAGTGGTTTTGTGAAAAACAAAGGGAGCCACTGGTTTGAGACCGCATTGCCCACACAGCGTGATTGACAGGTATCACTGCATCACAGAGGCCAAAAAAAAAAGCCCCACTGGTGCCAGCTACTGATCAGAACTGAGGCTGATTCTCAAACATGACCTCATGGTGATGTAATTAACACAGGGTGAAATCATAAATTGAAACCAAGTGCCTCGGAGCTAAAATGACTATGAAAAATAGGAAGGCTCTGCTAACACCCAGGCCGACCCCGGACTGCAATTTCTTTACCTGACATTGTACAACTATGATTCACTACAGAGCTCGTGCAAGACGATGCAACACAGAGAGGCAGGCAGACAGGGTTTTAAATCCTGAGCTGTTTTTGGGAACATGTTTAGCTTCACCAAAGCATAAAGACTGAGGCTTGTTCAAGGCCCTTTGCTCACTAGGGGGTCTGAAACTCATGGATAAGGACAAACATAGCAAGGCTATTAAGAGTTTAGTAGATTAAAGGGTTTAACAGTGTCACCTGTTAATATATAACAGGCAGGTATGAAGCATTATAAAAGATTAATTTTAGTGAAGGTTTAGAGTTTCCAGCCTCTTGTAGTGATGTTTGTGGTAGATTATGTATCTGTATCCTTATGAAAAAAAGGTCTCCTTTAAAATGAAACCAAAAGCCTGTTCTCCTGCGAACATCCATCATTGTTTTCAATCATTTTAAACGCAGCCTGAGAATTATCTCAACACTTCATGCCTGAAGGTCACAGTTTACCCACCTTTTAATAAACCAAAGCAGATAATCCAGCTACCATCAACCTCGCTGCTGGGAGCCTGTGGCATTTTTATGTGAACAGCTGATGCGCTCAGTGCTACCAGCTCATACGGAGTTGACAGGTAGGCTGCTGGAGTTGACACCTGTCAACGTTTACAATAAGGTGCTGTTCGGTTTGAACGAGCCTTCAGCTGGTGCCAGATGTGAGTGCTGCTGGCAGATAAGTCGATGCTCCTGTTGCTTTCTCTCTCTCTTTTTTTAATCACTTTCGGCGCACATAATGGCTCCAGCATGCCACAATAATTCCACCCTGCCTTTAATCTATGGAACCAGCAGCTCTCCTGCAGTCTGCCTCGGAGGCACATGAGCAGGCAACAGTCTGCTGTCCTACCTGTAGAGCAGAACAAGTGTAGGTATATGTGCGCAACGACGAACACTCACCAACTGATTTCAGTGCGCTTCAGGCGAGGGGGGGCATAAGGGACCTCCAAGGAGTAAGAAGTTGGAATTAGCCGCCAGCCACCATCTTCCGCAGGGACGAAGAAGAGAATGTGCGCAGTGTCAAGGAGTCCGTCCGATACGACACACCACACCGCCTCATTCCAGATGACAGCGCCGGACCCGCGGCACGGTGGACTAAATGATGAGCGGTGACAGCACACGGACAGAGGAACGCTTCACTGCGCGCTCAGCAGCGGCAACAAGGAGGCGGGTCAAGACGCACGTGCTTAGGCCGGGAGATACAGGAAGAGAGGGTAACTCGGCCTTCAAAATAAGAGCAACAGCAAGCGTTAGAAAAAGTAGGCAAGATGACAGAAACAGAAAGATTCATTGAATATATGGATTAAAAAAAATAAAGCAGTACTTAGTTGTAATGTCAAGTAATTTTACAATGACAGCAAATCCGCTTTGTATTTAGTGGACGACAGTGACAGCCATAAAAAGTTAAAAACAAGCAGGAGGGATTTGGAAAGCTTGAAGAGTTTGACTAAATAAAATAGAAAATGTGAAAACAACCAATTAAAAATATGCAAATAGCATATAGATGATTTATTATTATTATTATTGATAACAACAACAACAACAACAACAACAACAACAACAACAACAACAATAATAACATAAGTTAAAGGGCAGACTTGTGCAGCTGAGTGTAAGGAGGTGCAAAGTGCAAACCAAAACACAAGTGTACAAGAATGGCAACCTTACATAATAACCTTTGTAAGCCTTTGGCTACTGTATCATTTTCTACTTACCAAATAGATATTGACCCTCTTCTCTTCCTTAATTTTTGAAAACCCTTCATGACAAAATTATCGCAGATGTTTAACAATCATGAAATCAACACAAACCAATTATCGTGATCAAAACAGATTCCACCTCTTAATATTATTGATTTTGCCTTCTGTAATCTGTTTTCTACAGTCATTGATCTGAATAGCTTTATTTTATTTTGAAGGTAATTTGCTACAATTTCCGTTGTTACTTTTCTTTTCTGGGCTTAGTCTTGTGGCTCAAAGGTTTGTACCATTGTTTTATGAGTGAGGGGTGCGACTTTTTTATACGTTCAGATGATCAGAAGCAGTATCACTTGTTTACATGCCCTTTGACTAAATCAGATAAGTCCACCATATGTCTTTAGTCCTAAATACCACAAATATTTCAATCCTTCCTACTGCAGAGATTGCAGTGAGAGTGCAATATGCATGCCAAGGCTGTTTAAGGCTTCCACCTTAAAACATTAAGAGAAGAAGAGCGATGCTGTAATGGCAAAGCGCTTTCTGAGGTTGTTTTAGTCAACAGGCAATTTTACACTCTAAATACGTTGTTCAGTGGACCTCTTATTATCAAATGGCATCTAGAACAAGTCTAATGACAGGACACGGAATGTTTGGAAAAACATCGGATTGATTATAGTCATGATTTTATGTATCAAAGGGTTTGATTTGAACATCTTTTTATCTGGTAGAGAAAGCAAGTGTGAAGAGGCGGAAAATAGATCCTTGCACCGTAACAAATTACTCACAGCTGAACACCTTCACCGCGTCCCTGAAGGTCAGGCACACAAACAGATGGAGGTTTGCACCCTACTGCTTTAAACTCACCTTCAGTTTTTTTTAAATTTACTTTTACTTTTTCTTTTCTTTTTTATTTGTGCTGTAAGCTGTAATAAATCAAATAAACATGTATTTAACATTTCTTTACCACTATGACATTAAATGTTAAGGCATTTAAAGGAACACTATAAAATGATCACTAGAATTAAAATGTCAATAAAATGGATGACGACACAACACCCTATGGTTTTAGAGAACACTCATTAAAACAGATACGCTATACAACATAATAGGAAACATGTTTTTCATATAATAAAATCATTGTTAATAATAATAATACTATTTAATATTGTCTTTCTGCTTTTTTAATGACTATTCTTTTTACTTGACCATAGTTCACTGAGAAATTTAGTAGGGAATTCTAAGAAAACGTGATATACGTTTGGGTTTAGGTGTTTGAAGGCCTGTAAAAGAAGGGCATTTTCGCTATTGCGCATTAGCACATAATTGGCCACATTTCTGGAGGGACAACTCACGGATCCAATCACAATAGGTTTTGGATGGCCAAAAGCCAAATATCTGGTTATTAACAGTAACGCCCCAGAGAAAACTGTCCTGCGCGCAGTTTTACCCAATTTAGCCAAACAGTGCCGGAAGTACAGTCGATTAGGCGTCAAAGTAAAACAGAGCAGCCACAGTTTTAACAGCAACAGAACGTTCCGCGGATTATTTGTATTTCATATGAGGGTGTAAACTAATGCAAAAATGTATGATTAACTGAAATATTTGTGTTTTCAGTTATGGATTATCCCTGAATTGTGTACGTGCAGACAAAGAATTTTTTTAATTTGAAAATCTCGTGCGGACGTCTGTCACTGTGTTCCGCATAATTAACCTGACTCCATTGTTTTGCGTCAGTTTCTTCCTGAACTTTTCGAGCTTTGAGGACTTTTACGGAATTAAAACATCATGGGTGCTTGTTTGGCTCTGGGTTCACTCGGAAGTTGTGTAAGTATACATTTGCCAGTTGTCGTGTTGGCAAATGAAATACGTAGTAGTTTTTAAACGTCTTTATTTCTTTGTTTTTATCTAATTCTTTTGCCTTGCTTTACTAGGCAGGCCGACATTAGGCAAGGGAAATGACACAACTTCAAGTGAAACCGCTAAAATTAGATTCGTTTCCTTTAGCCTACTGACAAACTCAACACTACACATGTCCTGTGACATTTACTTTGATCTTATACTTTCTTTAATGTTCTAAAGAAATCTGTGCTGGATAGTTGGATTCGAGGGACGTCGGAATTATCAACTTTCTGAAGCGTTTTAGCAGATAACGTGAGTAACTTGGTTTAGTGTTTTAGAGTGACTATGAATGGTGAGTTTAGACACGTGGAGAGAGGTTTGCGGCTACGACCCACATCATTTCAGTCAGTACATCAGTAGACGACGCAGCTAGCTGTCCAAGGTGGAGTTTCCGGAGTTTCCCCAGATATAAAGTCACGTGCCACATTAAAAAAAACAGCATCACTGTTTGTGCTGTTCATGTGCAAATGATGATCTAGTTTTTGAGACTTCTGACACAACATATTGTGATGAAAACCAACGTTTTTAATGACTTGTTCAAACTGAAATCAAACGTAAGTGAAGACGTCATTCAGTGGGAACTGATTAGATTACCTCTCGGCAATTTGAAGATTGTGATCCGTGTTTCAAAGCATATACAAAACCTCCAAGACAACGTCATTTTGAGTTTTTCAAGCACTACTTTAACATTTTATTTGTTTATTTTAACTGCCATATTCAAATATCGGATCCAGGGTCGGTAGCTAACATTAAATCCTGTCACATGTTAGAACATTTAAAGTATGAGAGATGGTTCTGCAAGGAAAATGTAGCGAACGAATGTCCTAAAACAAAATCCAAGGTCGCAGCTTTTGAACTTTTGACTTTTTAACACACTCAGATGTCGTCACTTCCTCATCGCGGTGTCATCTAAAGTAACAGTGGTGTGTTTTGGGCGTTGTGATAGATCACGTCAACCAAAACCGAAACTTTTTTTTCTCATTCTGATGACCACATTTGCCAAGAAGAGGAAATCATTCATGCTGTTAAGGACAGAGTCTGAGATTTATTGCAGTTTCTAAGAGCTGGAAATGTGGAAATGACTACAGTTTGAAAAATAGTGCAGTATTCTGATTTCAAGAAGCCAGACATTGCTTTTTCACTCTCTTTGTTAGTCCAATCGTTGTACCTGTTTATTTAATGGGGAGTGTTTTTTTTGTTTTGCTTATCTTTTTGTTTGTTGACACAGTAATGCTGACCTAAAAATTATTCAAGCATAAAAAGGCACCTTAGTCAGAGAGTTGAACCATTTTTGTGTCTACACATAACAGATACATTAGCAAAGAAAACAACTGCCGATTCCTGGTGTTCCTGGATAAAAACAGAACACACTACCAGTCATGGATTGGCCTCCGCAGAGCTCAGACCTCAACATTAGTGAAGCAGCAGCAGTGGGATCATCCTGACAGGAAACAAAGTAAAAGGCTGGTAACATCCAAAGAAGAGCTTTCAATGACCTTCAGCAAGCCTGGAGAACTATTCCTGCAGATGAAGGAAATGACAAGAAAGCCTGCCTAAGAGTGATGAGGCTGTGTTAAAGAATGAAGGTGGTCATACCAAATACTGCCGTTCAAGCGGTTTTTCTCTAAATGTGGCACTAAATCCACCTTCTGGAAGAGATTCTAGGTGTGCTGAAGTTTGCCATTCACCTTTTCTCATGTTGTACAGTAAAACCAAAATATTTAATTAGCTGACATGCATGGCAATCACAGCCGGTTTCTTCTGGCAGTCTTGGAGAAACTTCACGATTGGGTTTAATACATGTGTCACTGACTTGGTCAGCTGTTCAGTTCATGCTGTTTGTTGCCAGCACTCTGTGGCACAGGCCCGGCTCAGCCGTAGAAACCGAATGCTTTTCAGCGCAGCTGCAGTGTTTACACCCTGGGCTCGTGTCCTCTGGAGCATGCTTATATTTAGTGAAGGATGGCTGCTCTCAGCTACAGTCTCCGCCTCGGTGCTTCATGCACCTCTCAGCAGCAAGCGCGTGAATCATGCAGAAGTCCTGCGTGATCCGGTTTGCAGCGCCGGATCAGAAACAGACAGGAGGAGAGATTTGTTATGGTGGCATCTCTAATCACAGACTTGATTAGTACCACAGGAAGGAAAAAATGGCTTGTCATTGCTCTCCTGAAAACATGCAGAAGAAAGAGAAAGATGGTTGCCCCTGACAGCAGCAGCAGTATCTTTTTTTGTTGTTTTTGTTTCCCCCCCCCTCCTAACCACAGTGTTTGCAAGCCATGCATGCATTATCCTGATTATCCTACACCCCCCGAGTCCAATCCCTGAGTTGCATAAAATATGAAGCTGTCCTGATATTTCTCTCTTTCGTCCTTCTCCAGGCATCCTGTTTGTGCGGCTCGGCCTCCTGCCTGCTGTCATCATGTTGCCCTTCCACATACAACTCCACCATCAGCCGGCTGGCCTTCTCCTTCCTGCTGCTGCTGGGCACGCTGGTGTCCATCATCATGATTCTGCCAGGCATGGAGGAAAATCTTAAAAAGGTTGAATGAGATTTAATGGCTATGAAAACAGTTTATTAACCGCTGTAATCCATCAA